ATTCTCACTCTGATTTACCCAGCACTTACGTTACTGAGGTAAGGGAGGGCATGAAACTTGGTATTTTCCCCATTTCTGCACGGAGAATTATTTCATTGAATCTGTGGCCTTTATGTTAAGCTATTCATCTGAAATATCTCAGTGATTTCATTTATATTGATAGCTGAAGGGAGAAGGATGGAGAGAGACTATTCATAAGAGTTGTGACATATAGTGACAGGACAAGGGGGAATGGCTTCAAACTGAAAGAATGTAGGTTTAGATGAGGTATTAGGAGAAAGTTCTTTCCTGTGAGAGTGGTGAGACACTCGAACAAGTTGTCCAGAGAAGCTGTGGGCTGCCTCATCTCTGGAAATGTTCAAGGGCAGATTGGATGGGGCTTTGAGTGATCTTCAAGGTCCCTTCCCATACAAACAATTCTGTGATTATCACCATTCTACAAGTATTTGCTGAGATCCTCTATCCTTGAGCTTCGTTAGTGTGTTATGAATATGAAAGTAACAGCATTTAATTTGGTACTGAGGCTTATACTTGATTTTATCTGAAGCATTGAACACCTCACTAGCTGTGGAGTTGCTTCACTGTTCAGGGTACTTCTGCATGGTGACTGGAAAGCTGGAACATTGGTGACACTGAACAGTTGCCTTCAGGTGATTCCTGTTGCTTAGCATACCTGCATCAATAGATAGATTGAGGTGAGGTGAGCTAGAGTGTTTAGGTTTTGCTTTATGAGTGTAATAACATCCTTCAAGATGTACCTCAGTTTCCAGTTTTGAGGACTTCTGTTAAACATACTACTCCAGTCAAGTATCTTTTAAATGGGAATTTAAAGCATTAAGCTACTTCTCTTTCTGGCCTCAGATTTATTCATCTCTAACACATGAGATGCAGAAATGAGTTTTACTAAGTTCCTCAGTCAGTTGTTGGAATTATGAAAATGACTAAGTCACAGAAAAAGAGATGCTAAAAAGAAGATAACGCTCTTTAGTGGGTATAAAATTTGTCTTCCTTTACAGGTTTGAATTTGGGAAAAGATGAATTAGAGTGAAATACCCCTTCCTGTATTTTAGAACACTGTTCTCTACAGTAGCTGCATTTCTGCTTTGTCAGCCTTGAAAATCCATCATTAATATGCTTTGGTCTTTGAAGAAGCTTCTAATGGTGCATATCCATTTTGCTTTTACAAAAGGGAGAATGTTTGTACATCTCAGGTTTGCTACTACAGAAGCATCTGAATCCTGAATACATCCAAAGCTGGGGATTATTCTTTCCTTTTTCTCTTTCTGTATCATGGTTGACATACTTGTGATAAGATTTTCAACATTTGAGGCAGACCATCAGCTTTCTATTCTTGTTTTACAACTTCAGCTTCTCAAGGTAGAATTAATAAACTTTTGATATTAACCTAGTTCCTAATTTAACTTTGTACAAATTGCTCATGGCTAGCAGAATGTAAAACTAAACTTTTTTTTTATATACAGAAAAACAAACTGAATTTGTAATTCTAATTTGACTTACTTTTCAAGTCAGATTCAAGTTTGACATGTGTACTTAAATTCTAGGAAATAGTGAACTGTCTGTGAGTAATTCTCAGTGAAAAGGTATCTAGAAAAACATGCCTAAATTTTGTTTTCTTTAAGTCAGTGTTATTTTTATGAGCTTGCCAGGGTTGTATTGTCACTGTGGGTGGGTAGTGGGAGGCAGGCAGTCATGCTGCAGGGTTGTATTATTTCTGGCTGGGAAAGGTGCCCATTTGCCACAATGGCTTCTTTAGTTTTTCACGCCTCCTCTTCCCAGTTTCAAGCCTTGCAGCCCAGTGCTGCTGGTGGGCAGAGCTGTGTGCTCTGCTGAGAGCTGCTCCTGCAGGTCAGGCCCTTCTGGATGGGACTTAGTGCAGTTCATTGAGCTGCAGCACAGGTTGTCAGCTCCTCTTCAGCAGCATCAGGGAAGGGGTTTTCAGGCAGCTGCCTTTGCAAAAACACTGTGGAGTTATGTAGGGAAACAAGTTTTCCTACAAAAAACAAGGTAGAGGAACATCAGTATTTTCTTAAATATAGAGGGCTGTAACCTCTCCAAAACAATTCCTGCTCCCTCTGAAAACAGTGATAAATCCAGGTGCCTTCCATTGTGTCAGCAGCAGTTGCTACCATTCTACATCAGGGATTCCTGATGTTTGACCACACCTTACGCATGGTCCACACAAAAACTGGAATCCAAATATCTCTGCTGGTGCTGGCAGTACTGCATGGGATGACTTCATTGCATTTGTGGAACCAAAAGTGTGCCGTGACACTGAGTCAGCCAGATGTGTTGCTGCCATTTCAGTACCACAGGAGCCAGGGAAGAGGCAGCAGCAGCAGCAGTGGCAGGACTGGAAGAGGATTAGGGTATTGACAACTTGTATCTGGAAAGAATCAGTGTGTTGTCAATCCTCTGGTATCATGAGGTTCAGCAAAAAAAGTCTGGAGCCAACCTCCAGCCAGTGACAGACCAAGCAAGGCACAGCAAATAAAGTGGGTCTTTTGAGCTCTATGTTCAGTGTCAGTTAAAACTTAACAACAGAAATTGTGAAACTTAAGGTAAAGCTGTTGGGTTTGTGGAGGTAATGCTTCAGTTTCAGGTAATAAAGGTAATGTTTCAGTTTCAGAACATCTAGACAGCAAGTAATGGAAAAGCCTAATTTGTCTTCATAGACATAATATTTGACTTGCAAGGGAATGTTTTGCCACCACCTTGCAGTGTCTCTCTTCCTCTCCACCATTGCTCAACAGGGTAAAATGCTTCTCATCTTGTTTTTTGGGTGCCTGCACTAAGATGAAATGTCCCTGTAAATGCTGAAATAAGCTATCTCAGGTGCTGACATTTTAATTTAATGAGGTAAAATTAATCCAGAGTGTATTACTGTGGAACATGGCTGAGCAATGCAGGTTTTTGTTTATGCTACCAGGAATACATTCTCATGGCCTGTTCTGTGTTGTGCAGGACCTGGGTTCCCCAACAATAGAAGAACAAGTTGATCAGCCTACAATAGACGATGAGACTGTGCTTATTGTTCCTTCTTCCCATGGTTTTATCCAGGCAACAGATGATATAGATAGTGAATCAGTCCTGCCCTTGACAACTCTCACAGGTATGACAGTCCCTTTCATTAAAGAGCTTTCGAGTCTCTGCAGAGAACACTTCAAAGATCCTTGCTTTCTCTTAAATAATTTTACATATCAGTGCTACGAAATTTCAAGTAACGTAACAAATACTCCTCCCCAGAGGAAGGATCTCCCTGTAGAGCCGTCAGCGGGTCAGCACTGATAGTGTAATACCCAGTGGATGCAAATGTGAGTCACACCACTGCATCCATATTGGTCATCACTTACCTTCTCTAAAGATACTCAGTATCCACCTGGATGTGCTCCTGTGCTCTAGCTGAACCAACTTTAGCAAGGGGTTGGACTAGAGGATCTCCAGAGGTCCCTTCCAAACCCAGCTGTTCTGGGATGCTGTGAAACTAGAAATTGCAAACTGCCTAGTTTGAGCAACTCTGCCTGTAATTGGTTAGAATTCCAGGCTACATTTCCTAAGTTTGTATTTTACATTTTGTTATAATGGCACAGCAATAGTTCTAATGCTTTTTGTCCCTTGGCAGATCCTATCTTACAACATCATGGAGATGGGTCACACATTATTGGCTCATCGTTGGGCAGTCCTGACTCGGAAGATTCAAAGGATGTTGAGGACTTAGTGAGCTGTCACTGAGAAGCAGCAGTGGTGTCCATTTTCTATTGATCATGTTTGCATTGTGAAATTAGTTACAACTCTGTGCCACATTTCCAAAGAAAGCAGTCACGGTCTGTCTCTTTGAACAGGAGCTTCCAGTGTGAAATGACTACGGTGCACTTTCTCTGCTCAGGCTGTTTCCCTCATCCGGGAGGGAGGACTGAGCCGCCAGCCAAGGCCTGAGGTGCCACATCTCACTGGGGTGGTCCAGTATTCTGAAGGGCCTCTGGTGCAGTGCTCACAGTGCTCAGACCCATCCAGTCACTTCTGATCTGACTTGTTACTGATGTGCTGAACTGCACACATGGAAAACTGGACAGAAGACAAGGATTGTGGACTGTAGCCTCTTAGTGCTGCAGCAAGTATTAGTTTGCACAGGTTTCATGAAGAATGGGTGAGGATTTTTGCACTTACTGACTCTTGTAATACATGGAGTAAGAGACTGTTACATTTCAGGAAGGAGTGAGTTCCATCAAAGACTTCAGGGAGCATGGGCAGCATCATGAAGCAGTGGTGTGAATTCCCATCTCACCTGACTCGTTAGTATGTCTGTGGCACAGGAAGAAGGCAGAAGCCCATGGGACTTGCCTGGTCTGCTTGTTCCTGAGAAGTCCATTGCTGGCAATGGACAGAGCTCAGAAAGATCATTTGTGGAAAATCTTTTCCTGTTTTGTTTTTTTTTTTTCTTTTCTCTCATCACTACAGCAAGCTGAACACAAAGGGAAGGGCTATGAGAAAGGGAAGCTACTGGGACCCACCGGCCTCCCCCCACAAGCTTGGAATTTTGAGATTGTTGTGAGTAGATTGGAACGTTTGTCTCTCGCTGTTTACCTGACACTACCAACCACCTCTCCAGGTGTGATTTATGCAGCAAGTTAATCAATGGGAATGGTGTGAAGGTGGCAAAGTCTTGGAGGAATAGCTCTGTGAGAGTCTGGACATAGGGCCCTGAGGCAAAAGAAGCCAATTAATTCCTACGTTGTTTGAAACAGACACTAGGCTGAACAGCAGCCTGTTAGCTAGGAATCAAGAGAAAAAGCTATAGAAACTAAAGACTTGTATAAATTATTTTATTTATTTCTGTAATTAGCTCTTCATAATCAAGAGTTGGTCTTTTTCAGTCTGTGGTTTTGTTAATGTGAAAAATAAGTTGTAGTTTTAAATGGTTGCCTAGGGAACAGAAATAATTGTATATTCAGTTTCAACAAAATAAAGAGTATTTGTCTTACTTGACTGTAAGATGCCATTTATTTATACTGCCACAGATCCTTTCAGTGCTGCAGTTTATTTGTACAGTAATAAAAAAAGTGCATTTTTTTCCAAAATGAAAAAGCTTGTGCCATTCTGAAACATCAGTACAACTGGAATGTTCATTAAGCGCAACAGTAGCTCTTCAAAAAAAAGCAGAATGTCACGTCTTATGGCAATAATTCTCCCCAACAAGAGGGACATTACATATACATTTACATGAAAATCATGTACTGATTTATCCTTGCACAACCCACTTCTTTCCTCTCAGGCTGATGGTTCTCACTTAAATGTCGAGTAGAGCTGAGAGCTGAGCTGGAAGCAGTCTGACACAGTAGCATCATTGCTGGGTATTCCCAACGTCCTTCATTTACCCACTTCATGGAAGTACAGGTTGGCACATATACATAACATGACAATAGAAAACAATATGTAGTAAATTAGATTTCTAAATTTGGGTTCCAGGTCTCCTTGTCGATACCAGTAGATCTAGAAGAGAAAAGGAGTTTGTGTTATTTCAAAAAGCCAAGTATTCTGAGGAAACTTTCTTTGGTAACTGAATTGGCAACTTGTAGATTTAGTTTTGGGAGTTTGTAAAACAAACTTTCATTTGTTTGTAAAACAAGCCAGCTTCCTCTGGCCAGAGAGACCTGAGTGTGTCTGTATGTGAAACTGGCCCTGAGGACATGCGCTGTCTGGTCAGCTTTGCTGACAAGAGAGGGAGAGTGGGTGGCTTAGCTGGGGGTGTTTTAACACTCAAAGCTGGCTACACCCTGGTGGATGAGGATAAACATCAGCTTTGCACTAACACAGTCTATTCTGGGCAGAGTCCTGGCCACCAGCTGCAGGATCAAGAACTGGGACTGAGCAGGCACTGAAGAGCAACTTGCCAGTGTTCCCAGTAGTGAGGGGTTCAGGGCTGTTCCAGGTCACAGCTGCAAGAAGGAGAATACTCCAAGTGTGAAAAGCTACAGCAGAAGGATTCACCAATGTGCCTGCCCATGTAAGGGGCATTGGACTAGATATTCTTTTGACAGCCCCTTCCAACCCAAACCATTCTGTGATTCTATGAACTCAGACCTGCCAGTTCCCTTTGCCAGTGCTTGGGAGCAGCTTCCTTGGAATTCTGCAGTTGTTGAGTAGAGGAACATCTTCCACTTCCTGTAGCTTCCTACCCCTGTAACTCATCCCCTCTGTTTGAAATGTCACTGACTAACGCAAGTGCATCGCTGATCCCACTTCAAATGTCTTCTGCAGCACAGTCCATCTCTGCACTCCCATTTCAGTGCTCTGATCCCTGTTTTCCTGCTCTGTGTCTCCCCTGGCAGCTACAGGTGGCAGTGCCACAGAGGTGACAAGTCTTACACCACAGCTGGGCTGCAGGAGTTGGCTCAGTTCACACACTTTTACTCTGCAGTAAATACAAAACTCATTACCACTCCCTCATTGTCAGCTTGTGTTACGGAGGCAGGAAAGCTTTTCTAGGAGAGTGTAAAAGAGAAGGCAGCACCACATAAAGCAGATTTTATTCAGAGCCATTGATTCAAAAGCACGGCAAACGTGGCGGTACTTACAAGAATGCCAGCAGAAATGCAACACAAGGAGATGCAGAAAGCAAAAAATACATTCACAGGTTTTGGAGGTAGTTGCGGGAAGACAAAAGCACTGATTAGAGTGACCTGTATGGGGGAAAACAAAGATAAAGATTTCACTGGCCAGAGCTGCAGTGAGAAGAGGCTCAGCCCAAGGGCTGGAGCAGCACAGCGCTCACATCCTGATCTGCACACCCCTCCCTGGTCTCTGACTCCCACCCCTGAGGAGCTGAAGGAAAATGTGCAAGTCTGGAGGAAAACTGCTTTGATACAGCTGCACACTGAGAAGAGTGGAAAAAAAGATGAAAGCTTTGCAACACTGGCTTATTGCCAGAAAGCACCCTCCAAGTAGCCATGAAGCCATCAGGCCCAGGGGTGCACACTGCCCACGCAGGAGCATCCCTTCAGCCAAGTGTTCCACCAGCTGGCACCTCCCCTGTCCCCACAGCCTCCCTGCACCTCAGCCCTCCAACAATCCCCCTGTGGACCACACCACTAACAGCGCTGGGTTTGTCTTCAGCTTGGGGAAAGCACAGCTCAACACAAAGGGATAAACTTTGGAAAGACTTATATAAGCCATAAATAGAGGACAATAAATCATAAATAGAAGGAAATGGAAGCAAACACGCTCTCCTGGCACATAAATGCTTTGTTGTCTCACCCAGCCTCATGTTCAGCCAGGAGGGACAATCTACCAGGGAACTTCAAGGATTTTATTGCAGCTCTTAAAGGTATTCCCCTTCTGTTGTCAGCGGTTCAAAAGACAGATATGTTCCAAAACAACTGCTTCCCCTAAATCAGAGCCTCTTTGGTCACTGGAAGTTTCACCACCCATTTTTGGAGAGGAATTCTGGTTTTCTCCCTGCCAGTTCAAGGTGCAACATGGATGAGTGGGATTGGAGATACTTACTACAAGCAGCAAGGTTGTTAAGCCACCAACAACTAGATTGATGATTCTGTCCTGAAGAAGAGAGAAGTGTTATGTGTACCTAAAAAACCAACAACAAAAAAAACCCCAAACCATATACATCAGAGCATTAACCAACAACACTGAGAGCATCAGCCAGGATCCACGTTATCCCCAGGACACCATCAGGGCTCCATGGTCAGCTCTGCCACACAGGAAGGTTTCTTCCCCAGGGAGGCTGTGCTGGTCAAGGCTTCGTGCAGCAGGTTTGCTCATTTGCAAATGGCTTCTCCACTATATCCAAATTATTACAGTTGTGCAAATTATATTTAAATCTTTTTTTTAAAGTGGGAGTGCACAGATGGAGGTTGTCAGAAAAATCTTTTTTTAGCCTCACAGCCTGAGAATTAATAGATTGATAGAATCTTAGGTGGGAATTTGTGGGCTGTTGGCAAGGAGGTGAAGCATTGCCCACACCTCAAATGCTCCACCTAACACCAGCAGATCTGAAGATGCCACACAGTGGCTCTGCTTGGACAGACAGATATCCCCCCACACTTCTTTCTGCTGCTCCTGATCAGTATAGAACAACTGAGAGGACACAGATTTTTGCACCTGGGAAGAAAGATCTCTCAGTGACAGCATCACAGGCACATCCCAGTGGCATCAGGGCAGGGACTGGCTGTGACACTGGGCTCTGTGACCACGGGCTCAGAGGAGCACCCATGGCTGATGAACCTTCTGGAGTAAAAAAAACAAAGGAAAATGAGAATATTCCAATCCCTGCCAGCACACTGCCTCCTCCCTGGTGCTGCTCTGAGTATAGATATGTATCGCCACGATCGGACTGGGCTGCACACAGCCAGGTGTGACATCCCAGATAGCTGACAACAGCTAAAAGAACAGCTACAGCAGAAAAAATGTGCAGAGAAAACACCCCAGACACCGATTAATTATACTGAGAGTCATTAAGTAGTCATGGTAAAAGGAAAGTGAGAAAAGAGTTTGAGCAGTGAAAGCATTTTGCCCAAGATATCCCAGCCAGCAGGCAGGGCAACACAGGCTTCCCTCCACCTGCTCTTGCACCCTTCCTCCCTCCTAGAATTTGGATTTGTAGAGGGAGGAGTCCCAGGCCATGAAGAAGTAACACATGACAGCAGCAGGGCACTAGAAGAAAGCAAAGAGGAGAGAGCAGCAAGTCATGGTTTTGTGGGACACCACCTGCCCTGGCTTTGTGGAGCTCACGTTAAGGTGGTTCAGGAACAGGTGGATGCTGTGCCCTGGTTGTGTTCCCCAAGGGATAGGGCCACAGCAAGCAGACTCTTTGAAAAGAAACCTCTTCTATTAGACCCAAACTCCTCTTAATAAAACCAAACCACTGATGCTCCTGTAGCTCCGAGGCCCCAGTCTGTGGGGGAACAGCAGTGGCTGCAGCAGTGGGAAGTGACTCCTCTCCATAGGAAATTGTCACCAACATCCCCTGTGCAAGGTCCTCACCAGCCAGGCACAAACCCCTTCTCCTCACCAGCATTTCTGCAGACAGAGCTGGTGATACAGCAGCAGAAACAGCAGGGAATGAATGCCAGGGAGCCAGCTGCACAACAGTGGGTCACCAACCTGCAGAGCTCACCTGGTGAGCACTGCCACAGCCAGCTCTGCAGAGCTCAGAGGGATGGACACACACTCAATCACCATCCAGAAACTCAGCCATGACTGTGCTCCTGATTAACCAGAGACCCACTGCACGAGGACAGACTGGACTGGCAGGAGAAAACAAGGGGTCAGACTTGACAGCGAGCATGGAGCTTTTCTCTCCTGACTGTTTCAGTGTGGGAGAGAGCATCCCCCAGCACAGGGGCCTCTCATCTCACACTGCTGGCTGCTGGACTTCCAGGGACAGCCGGATCAGGTACAGGTGCTGGGAGTGGAGCACGTGGCACCCAGTCCCTGTGGCCAAGGCATCCCCTTCCCGTGCCTAAACCTGCGGTCACTCACATTTTCCAAATGCGCTGCTGGCAGAAGAAGGTATTTCAGGATCCAGGGATTAGAGACACTGATCCTGAAATCCTGGGCTTGGCAAAGCAGTGAGAGGCTGTATTCCTCAGTGCCCGCTGACACTTCAGCCCCAGGCAGCTTAGCACAGCAAAAAGGTTAAAAATACTCAAGCAGAGGCCAAGACGGCTAAAGGGATTGGGGATGACGGAGCCTTTCACCTCCACACGGTGTCTGAGTGCACAGCCCAGCCCGGGCAGACACTCCTGGATACTGGGCACACAGAAACTGCTGTGGTGAGCCTTGTGTCCTGCATGTCACCCAGCTGGCACAGCCGGCTCTCACGACCAGCACAGCTGATTCAGGAAGGATTTTTCTCCAGCATCACTATGTGCCGTAATAGCTGTTAGAGTAAAAAGACAAAAAAACCCAGCAGGCATACCAAAACAGAGAGCCTGCAGCTGCTTGAGGTCACCTGGACCAGCACAGGGTACTGGCACACACACACCACCTCCTGATACAGCCCAGCATGCCTCCATGGGGTCCCCATTCAGCCAGCCAGCTGAAACGTAGCGAGCTGCTGGCCAGACAGGAGATGAATTCCATGTTTCACTGTTGCACAAGATGCATTTTGAAACATGAGGGTTTCTGCCCTCTCCTCCTGCTCTGGGGAGGGTGTTGCAGGATGGAGGCTTTGGACTTCTCCCAGGGAGCTTCTGCAGTGCAGGGGTCTCCCTCCATCTGCCTCTGGGAAAGGCATATAAGGTCAGGAAGTGCCAAATCTTGCAAAGCAGGAGGGCACAGTCCAGGATTCTTTAGGATCTGGGTCAAGGTTACTTGGAGCAGCAGGGAAACTGAGGCCAGACTGAGACTATGTCTACACTCCCTTCACAGGCTTTGACAGAGTGGCAGCTTTGCTCTTCGCTCCATTCCAGCTCAGCACCTTCCATCATTAAATCCTCCAAATTAGCAGCATGTGGGCTGAGCCCACAGGGGTCCTGGCAGAGGCTTGGCCAGGATAAGGGAATGGGCAGGTTCCCTGGAGCGTGGGTACCTGGTGCCATCTCTGCAGGAGTGACAGAAAGGCCATTTTTACGCCTTACATCAGCAAGTCCAGATGGTCAGCAGCCATTGCAGCCCGCTGCAGCCGTAGGGGATACCTGAATGCAGTGCCAGACCCAGCCTTGTGCCATTGCAGGCAATACAGGCTGTGCTCAGGGCCATCCTGGCCACCCACCCATGACATGGGGACTTCCTGGTGTGTCCTCAAAAGCTCATCATTCCCATCCCGAGCTCCTCAGTCTCTCTATCGCTTTCTGCTTCCAACCCATAGCAATAATTTCCACCCACCCAAATGCTCCCACTATGGAGGAACCCAGCTTTCAACTTCTTTCCTGAGAAATGCTGCACCTGTGGCACTCTGTCCCCTCTTTGCCACCGTGCTGCTGTGCCTTTGCATTGTCTCAGCCCTTCACTGCCAGTGCTGCATCCCTGGAAACCACAGCCGAATCCACAGCGCTGGCACTCATCGCTGCTGTGTTCCTACACTCCCTCTTCCACCAGCCACTTCTTTGGTACCGTTTTGCCCCATCCCTGCTCAGCAGTCGCAGGGGACAGCGAGCTTGGCAGGAGCAGCTGGACCACAGCAGGGCAAGGAGGAGGACACTGCTGCCCAGCTCTGCCATCCCCACAGAGGGGCTTTACCCTCAAAGTCACCAGCTTGGAGACCAGGAGAGTGCAAGAAGGCAGGAAAGAGGGAATCCCTATTTCTACATCCATTTCCAACTGCTGGCAAGGGTGGGAGACCCCTCATTCTGGGTGCAGGGCACAAGCACTGCCCCTGCCCCTCCCTGGGGCCCCAGCCCGAGCAGAGGATCTCAGTTTGCCTGTATCAGCCATCACCTGCAGAGACCCAAAAGCAGAGCTGGGGCGGGGGCAGACGCACTTCTCCCGGCAGACCTGCTCCCATTTAAAGGCAAAGTTTAGCTTCTCCATTTCTGACACAGAACGTTCCAGCTCGGGACCTGCCCGGCGTCTGTTCCTAAGCAACCCCAGCGGATCGGGGAGGAAACGACCCCTGGCCAGCACAGCGGTGCCTCGTCTGTCGGACACGGACATGGGCTGCTCGGCCCGTCTGACAGCTTCCAAAAAAGCCACGGGAGACAGGCAGGAGCCCATGATAGAGCCCAGGAGCCGAAATTGGCATCCCACGTTTATTATTTACCGCTCTCCTTTGCGAGCAGAGGCATAGCTGGAAAAAGACAGGGATCAGGGATCGAAGGCTTAACCTGGGCTGAAAAGTTTGGGAGTTACCTGCCAGGACAGCTTTCCTGCTCCTGACACACCCCAGTCCCCAGAAGTGCCCAAAATGCCTGACCAAGGACTGTCCGGCAGGACCCAGCAGGGCACTGCTCCACCAAGGGTACCCTTTGCTCCAGCACTCCCCATCAGGGCCAGCAGCTGCTGGTGGGGGATACCTGTCCCCCCTCAGTTCGTCTTCTTGGGGTCCTGCCTGTCCTCCTATGCCACATCACTCTATGTTTCCCCGAAAATCCGGTTGGTATCACTTTGTTTTCATTAAACATTATAATCGTAGCAGCACGCTGTTCCGAGTTCTTGCAGGGAGGGCGGTGATGCATTTGATACACTTGTGAATAATCTCAGGCAGTTTCAGCCTGCGCCCCCAAACACACACGAGTGTGAGTAACCTCTCCTGACAGGGGACAACCCCAAGTGTCGGACGGACGCTGTGACACCTCCAGGTATCGTGGTTCCCGAGGGATCCCGATGCCGGGCAGCCCCAGGAGCCCCCGGCCCGGCCCAGCCCCGGGAGCAGAGCGGCTTTCGGGGATTGACACCTGAGGAGCCGCTGCTGCCTCACGGCCGCCAAGGACAGCCACCGCCGGCTCCTCCAGCCCGGCAGAAAAACCAGTTCCCAGGAAGTCACCAAACGCATCCCCCCATGCCCATGCCCAGCAAAGACCCCCCAAAGTGGGTGAGAGGCAGCCTGGGGGGCTGCAGCCGCCGAGCCCCGGCCTGAGGGGCTGCAGGGCTGTGGGACCCCCTGCCCGTGCCCAAAGCCCTGCCCAGCCCCACTCCGAGGGTCCCCCCGGCCCTGGGACCCCGAGCCCCGAGTTCCCGGTAGAGTTTTGGGGGACGTTGGTTTGGGGAGGATTATTTGAAAGTTGATTTCCTGGGGAGGGAATGTTTTGTGAGTTTTTCATTTGGGGAGGGGGTCTTGCTGGGGAGGATCAGTTCCGGATATATGGTTTGAATTTTTTTAAATTTGGGGCCGTGTTCGTCTGGGGTGGGTTTGATGGATTATTTCAGGTTTGGGCACTAATCGGGAGATGGTTGTTTATGTTTTATTTCAGTTTTTTGGGTTTTTTTTTTTACAATTACGCCAATTTGAAGCTTTTCCTTCTTTTGAAATTTGGGGGGCTCCTTTTATAATTTTCCACTGGGGTGCAGCCTTTCTGATTTTTGATGCTGTGGTGAAGGGGAACTGAGGATTCTTTCTTATTTCATGGGGATTTTTAAATTTGCTCGCAGGATTCGGGCAGGTTCCTCGCTCGGGCGGGCCGGCTGCCTGCGGCGCTCCGTGCCGAGCCCGGGGACAG